ATTAACTTCTGTATATAATTAAAGTTAATAAATTCTGGCTTTTGATTTAGATTTTCCCTTTTACCATTTTAATATTTGTTCATAGATTGTTAATACATTCTGTAAATGACTCTTTTAATATACAGCTTTGTAAGATCATGTGATCAGTATATCATCTTTGTTAAACTAGTTCTTCATGTCAATCTGCCTATATAGAATGTACTTAGCAATTCTTATTGCAAATTACTGTACATAGTGACCAAAGGTTCCTAGCTACTTATATTGCTGCAATATTAACAATATTTATAATGTTCTTGTTGAAAAATTATCTTAGGGAATATTAAAGTATACATATCTTATTCACACTGTTTATATTGTTCAGACTGTTGTCCTCCTCTTTATTGTCATATTCATGATGTTTTGTATATGGAGAGAAAAGGGAGATCACTGCCCTCTGGGATGAGGTTGAAATAATAGACAGAACATCACTGGGAAGTACATGAACTTCAGGAATCTGTGCATATGCTAAGCCACAAAAATCTAAGCTGGCCAAGTATAGACATGAATACAATATGGGAATCAGTAATACAGAGTGCTAGAGAAAAACAATAATAACAAATTTCAATATGAGTTCTGGTAAAAAATGATAACTGTAATTCAACCAATGCTTTTATCCATTTGGCCACCATCAGTGAATGAATTTTGGGAACTTATAAACCTCAGAGTTGTGAGTTCAGTACCTGGCCATAGCAGAGGTGAGCAAAAACTTGGGGAGTTGAGTTACTAAAGGGAAATAACTGAAACTGAGATATCTAGAAAAGGCATGGTATGTGGAACTAGAACAATCTAGTGGACTAAATAAAGGGTTTGGAAGAAGGCCGGTGCTTACAACAATCAAAACATCGTGAATATGAGAATAAAGATGAGGACAACAGTCCGAATAATGTAAATAGTTACAATACCTCATCTCAGTAATATAGGTGTATATATGTCTTACTACACTTATAATCTTTTGTATTAACCTTAATTCTGTTGAGATCTGAGTGGGTACTGAAAAGTTCTTGGCTTGGCCCACATCCCAAAATAAGTATTATGATGATTGGTCATTGATTTTGGGAAATGAGTTGAGCCAAGAACTTTTTCAATATGCCCTTGTAGAAAATCTATGCTACTCGGTGATAATGAATATTGTCTAATTTGAAAAAATTGACAAATTACATACAGCAAACATTGTTTAACTACCAACAAATTTGTTAATTTTCTTTTAATGTAAGATTCAGATGAAATAACCAAAGAAAAACAAGGAAGAAGTACAATTTCATGAAATTAATAACTTTTTAACCTGTGAAAATTTTTCTTATTTGAATTTTCTGATGAATCTTAATTCTTAAATTAATGATTGAATAAGCTTATGGCAAGTTCTATGACAATAAAATATCCATAGAGATTCCCCTATTGCATTGTTAAATCTTTGAGCTAAACAACTTTAACAAAATATTGCAATAACAATCATAAATATGAATGTTGGTTGTTATTTTAAGAAGTAAGGGGGTACAAATGAAAAGATTTGAAATTGGCAACTTTTTCCATTTCACTGAGACAGCTGTTAAACACTTCTATCTTCCCTTTTTTTCATTCATTCATTTTCTCACTGAAACCAAGTAGTGTCTTTTCCTTCTCTTGAACTTTGGACAGTGATGCATGCTGTGATAACATCCGATGTGGTGACACTCCAATGTGCATCATATCATGAAGATGCACATACACTTCTTTTGTTCAATTAGAGGTGCTTAAAAGGGGTCAGATTGTGGAACTTCGATAGGCTGGGCGGTTAAATGAACATTCCTACATCTGTAGACCAGGTTCTGGATGACTGTGTAGTGGACACCTACAAAGAGTGACTCATTATAAAGGCAACAATGGTAGACTGCATGGTGATCACAGACCAGAGTAAATGTAGCTTAAGGATTAACTGACACATTATTGAGAATAGTTTAATTACAATAGGATTATGGGCTGATAGTCATATAACGTTGAAACACTGGTCATCATACGATTACTAAAGTTAAGCAACATCAAGCCTGGTCAGTATCTAGATGGGTGACCACTTGGGAATAACAGGTGTTGTAAATTTGAATGTGCAGGTGGTGTAACGATTAACAGTTTGGAATTGAAAATCAGAGTGCTGAGTTACAATTCCAGTCATGTTAGTTATATTTCACTTATGTGCAAATACCCTTGGGAAAGGTATGACTCAACCTCTTCTCCTCCCCCAAGCTGAAAAAAATTCTTACAATCTAAAAATTATTTTCTGGCTTTAAATAACCTGTGAAAGGTTGATAAGCCATAAAAAAAACCCAAATCAATCAGTCAACAATAGGATTATAAACACTTGTACCTCTAGCTAGATTCCCACTCTTATCACAATGCTATCATGCACATCTCTAGTGATGTTGTGAGAAGGTCAGCTAGGGAATCAAATGGTCCATTAATTAGAAGAGATTCTGCCTTTTTACTTGTGCTTTGTTGACTAGGAAAGCAACATTTTCCAGTCTGTATTTGCTCACAACTTGTTGGCATCATAGTATGGGGTGTCAAAAATTATAATTATCACTCATCTTTGGTGCTTGTGGACAGAACATTGAACAGTGCATCTAGAAAATTGTCGAACCTGTTTTGGTGCCATTCCTGCAACAAGAAGGCAATGTTCTCCTCCAGCAGAATGATTCCCAATTTACTCCCTATTCTCTGCAAGATGTTTGACAACTCTGTCAGACACAATTACTAGACCTATTTGCCATTGAACATGTATGGGACATCATGGCTGGACTCATTCAGTTAGCTCTTTTATAACTCTTGCTGTATTCAAACAAGTGCAAGAGGCAAGGAATAATCCATCACTAGTTGGTATTTACAATCTTCCTTCTTAACCATTTCACCCCAAGCAAGGCAACAAAGCTACTAAGAAGCAAAGGGTTACTGAGTGTGAAACAATGAGAAAAAGAAAAATATTAAGGAGAGCGAGAACAATAAAAGAACTGGAATTAAGAAGACAGAAGATAATAATTGACATTGCATTTAAATTTTTGAAGATCAAAGTTAACTGGAAAGTAAAAAGCTGGAAGAGAGTTCCACAAGCAAGACGTGCATATGCTTTCTAGTGTGGTTCAAACCCATTTTTCTCTTGTAGAGGAAAGTACTGTTAAGCTCAGAGTGTTTTTAGAGAACTCTGTGGTAGATTTTCACAGTAAAGCAAAGTTGTGTGGCTGAGCAGTCTAAAATCATACTAGAGTTAACAGTGGTTTCCTTTATAAAGAGGACAGAAGTTCAACCCCTATAGAAGGCACATTTTCTTTATTAAATATACAGGCCACTAGGTGTAGACTTACAGTGTTAAAATAAAATTGGGATGTCTAATCAAATGTGTATCTACTAGATATAACACTTAAAGTAATATGAAATGTAATTTTTAGTAACTAGTTACACTATTTACATTATTTGGACTGTTGTCCTCATCTTTGTTGTTATATTCATGATGTTTTGGCCATTCTACAGTCCAGCCTTCTTCAGGTGATTGGAATTTTGAACCAAACCCTTTATTTCATCTGCCAGGGTAGATTGTTCTAGTTCCTCATGCCATGCCTCTTCTGGATATCTCAGTTTCAGTTATTTCCTTTTAGTAACATAACTCTCCAAGTTTTTTTTTTTCGCCTCTGCTGTGACCAGGTATTTAACTCACAACTCTTTGGGTCAAGTCACTGGATTACTTCCACCAACACTTTTATCCACTGGGCCATGTTCCAATTACCTGAAGATGGCTGGAGCATAGCCAAAACATTGTGAATATGACAACAAAGATGAGAACAACAGTCCTAGCAATGTAAATAGTTACAATGCCTCATCTGAGAAATATAGACAGATAATTTTTAGTAACTTGAAACATTCAAGGTGTTACAAATTTATTTTCCATCAGTGTATATCCTGTTTTACTTTTTATGTTGACCTGCAAGTCTCAAAAAAATCTTCTAGAAATGTTTGTCAGCTCCTGTTCTAATTTTAAAACTGTACTGAAATTTCCACGGCTCTTTTTTCTTTTTTTAATATTAAATTAGAGCAAGAATAAAAAAAAAAAAAAAGTATCAAAATCTGTAAAACATTTTTACCTTTTCAATCTGCATATTGAACAGTCCCAATTTGTTTTAAAAAATTAAGTTCTACTTTAATTAATTTTTTTTTTTGTCAATCCGTGCTAAACACTTGAAAGCAAAATACAAAACATTAATGTATCAATGTGACTAAATGAACTCAACCGATGTTGATTAATGGATACAGCATTAAGTATTGTTTTTAATTTTTATTTTTTTTAAAATCTGTAAACATTAATTGCAAGAATTGGACAGAACAAGAATAAAATAAATGAACAGAATTGTAAAAATTAAAATAAAGCATGACAGAAAGAAAAATAAATAATTGAATGTTAGTTGTACTAAATCACATTGTTTGCTGTTATTCTCAAACAATGATTTTGTTTTCCATTATTGTCTTTCAAATAAGACTGTTTAAAAACTCAGATGAAAACTAATACACACCAAGAGTCTTAATTTGTTCCTGTTCTTTACTGTTCTTGTTCTGTGACATGAAAATAATTGGAAACAGCAATGCAAAAACAAAAAAAAAAAGGAAAGAAAATATAACACGTTTATCATTAAATTGAAAATGCTGTTATCATTGACTAATTAAAAGAATGAGATGTGCTGCCAGTCTCATTATGTTGCAGATGTCTTGCCTCTTTCTATAAGATGGCCATGAATGTTTCTGTTGCTTTTGCATTGGGCTCATCAACTGTGGCGAAATCTGTTGGACAAAGGTCATCATTCCTGCCACAAAGGTTTGAGAAATCTGGGAGGCAGGAAGCCAGAGTAATATGACCTCATCTGCCACATTCCCTTTCCTTTCTCTCTCTATCTTTTTTTTTTTTTTTTTTTTTTTTTTTGATTCTTATCGTAATTTGTTTTTCATTCATGTCTTCCTTCTCTCTCTACTTGTTTGCAGATGACATTATCAGGCGTCGGCTGCTGATTGACGGTGATGGAGGCAATGATGATAAACGCATCAACAGTCTTCTGCGAATGTTTGTTAGGTGGTGCAACATGCCTGACAATGATGATGAAAGGTACACTCTTATTTTATCTGTGTCTTCCTTTCTATTCAGTATATATCTCTAACTCATCCTCTTTGAATAAATGTCTGTGTGTTAGAGAAAAAAATACAAAACAACTTGAAATACTTCATACCCTGTAAAACTTCTTAATTCATATTATTTATTGATACAAATATATTTTTTTATCTTTATCAGAACTCCCTCTACATAAAAAATTATGTTCTTTTCTAATTAGTGGTATTAGTTATGGCCTGTTTTTTTTTATCTGTTATGGAGATTTTCTAAGCATAGCACAAGGCTGAAAGTATGGGGTACCCATTGAGGATCGAACTCACTGCTTAGTTGTAATTGTTTTAGCAAGACAAGCTTGCTAACCTTTACACCATATTGTGGTACCTGGCTGATTTTCTAAGCATAGCTTATGTGGCACAAGGCCAAAAACATAGGGCACCTAGTGAGGATCAAACTTGCTGCTCAGCTGTAATTCTTCTAATGAATAAGTTTCTTTTATGGTCTTGTCATTCCACAAATATTTCTATAAGCAATTTTTTTTTTTTTCATAATGTTGGCAAAAGTTTACTTGACTCTTCATTGTATGTTAGCAATTATACATTATTTACAAGCCAGAGGAAAAATCAGCTTTTAAAATGGTTTGCATTTAGACACACAGTGAGATATCAATTCTCTATTTCCTTCTGTATCTTATGGCCCCTGCAACAAAAAATGCGTGAAAAAGTGTAAAATTCCCAAAGTCTGTGATAGTTCGGGGGCGGTTACACGTTTGTCACTGGTGTTGAGAAAATTTTTCTTCAAAAAGTTGTTTAATGCCGTTCTCTATCATCAGGATGTCCTAGATCAATTTCTTATTTCATACATTAAGACAGCTTTGGGGACAAGGAATTTATCTTCCAACATGAATTTGCTCTGACCCAAAGAGTGAAATCGACAAAAGAATGTTTTAAGAGAATAACTGTTCATGATTGGCCTGCAAATAATCCAAATGCAGATCCAGTAGAAAATTTATGGGGACTCCTTGAGGAAATTAAGAAAATAATATCCATCAATTTTTGAAGAATTGAAGTGAGTCATTACTGAAATATGAATATTGATGACACCTGTGGATTGTTGTTGGCTAACCAGGTCATTACCACAATGAATAAAAGAAATAGTAAATGCAAAAGGTGCTATAACAAGGTATTCATGCACTAATAGTAATGGTAATATTAGCCGTTTCCTTCTAAGGAAACATTTGGCATTCATTGACTGAGCAGCTTTCACTACTATCAGCTGAAATTTATAAAATTTTTCTCTTAAAACAATTTTTCAAGAAAATAGGTTTCTCAAGCCCAATAGCTGTTATCACTTTTTTCAGTATTTATAAGGGTTTCCTTCCTAAACTTTTTAATTGAAGTAGTGTGGAATCTTGATTATATCATTATTTTCTCTTTCAGTTACAGGTGATGTCCATTTTTAGATGTTGCTACTGTATGTAGTCATCAAGTGATTTAATTTTGTTATTTATAATAATTTAAAAAAACATCCCACTTTCTACACTAATGACTACTGCTCTACATGCACTTCATATATTTATTCAAATTGATAAAAGCTAACAGGAACTGAGGAAATTTCTTTTGTCAGAAATAGATCTAAGCCAACACTATGTCAGCAGCTGGGCTTAATAACAGATATTCTAAGAAAAAAACCCTAGAAAATACAGAATTGAAGAATTCCTTTATATAAACCACTTTTAGAAAGTCTGATGATAATTGAACCTGATCTAGTAAAAGTAATATACCAGGATATTATTTCATAGCATCCTGGGTATTTTTAAGTGCAAACAGCACTAAAGTAAGTTTTCAAAACAGGTCCAGTTGGTAGAATTTAGACCAATAGGCATTATAACTCAGTTCTTTTCATTTCCATTATAAATTGTAACTTCGCTTTGCCTCTAAATCTCAGTGTAACTCTATTTACAGTCACCTCACATATCAACGAATGTTGGGCACCTTGGCACAATGTGAGTATACAATGGAGAAGTCAGTGTTGGTGTATGAGATGAATCTTCGAGAACAAAAGAAATATGAACATTTAAACCAAGAAATTGGTGAGTACAATTTTGGTTAAAACATTTTTTAGCATTTCTTTTCAAACTTCTCTCCTCACTTGATTTCTTTTCTTTTACTTTTTTTAAAAAATGTTTTTGTGACATTATCAAGGTGACATGCTAAGGCAGGTAGTCTGATTTTTGCTTTTTTTTTTTTGTTTAAAAACAAATTAGATCTTAATAATATTTATTGAAGATATCATGAATTTATTAATATTTTAAAAATACAAAAATGTTTGAAGAAATTGGATCAAAAAGTCTTAAGGGATGATAGTGACTGGTTAATCTCAGTTATTATAATATTCAATAAAATAAAATTTGACAATGAGTAACATGTATTATATGTAGTTATGTTTCACACTGCCCTCAAGTCCTGTAAACTTCTTAAGGAGTATAGGGCTACAGCTCTCAGCTTGTTAGGCAATGCACAATGGGTGGAGTTGCTAGCCACAGGTCCAACCAGTTTTGAATTTAGAGTTGTCCTTTTCCTAGATGGATTACCAATCACAACTAAAGATACCAGTCTGCACTACTATTTAATCCATAGCTGGGTGGTGGAAAAGAGATGGATTTATACCTTTACCAAGGGTATTTGTGTGTAAATGAATATAACAAACTTGATTGGAATTTAAACTTGGCTCTTGAATTTCTCATTCTGAGCTGATATCCATTACACCACACCACACATCCTTCACCACCTGCACATGGATGCCAGTTTTGTATATACTAGTTAACTAATGTAGTCAAAATGATGTATATATATATATATATATATATATATATATATATATATATTACATATATATATATATATGAGATTTATTTTGCAATTTGGCTATTTGGTTTTTTACCTGTGAAACTTTAAATATATTTTTCCATTTATTGCATTCTGTTCCCCTTGTCTCCAGACTTTTTCTTTCCATCTTCTGGTTTTGTAAAGATCTCTGAATAGTTTGCCATTGTCATTAACAAAGACATTGCCATCTCGTGTTGCCAATGCAAGGGAAATAATTGTACTATAACAAAACTTTACAAGCATTACAGACAACTAAACAAATAGGTATATATATTATTTTCTGTTTATACATTATTTTTATAGATACAATTTATTTAAGTAAATGCTCTGTTTTTAATTAAACAGTATTAATTACATTTATCGGCCTGAATGTTCAAGAAATTTTGTATAAAATATGCATACTCTAATAGGAATCGAACCTGTATTCCTGTACTCAAACCAGTGATAGGAATGTTGTTTTTTTTTTTATTATTATTTTGCATACATGATCAGCACATTGTGGCCATGTTCATAGTTGTTGAGTGCTTGCTTCTCCTTTTTTATTATTGTTATATACCGTACCTATGAACACTAATGGGTATGTCTCACTCCTCATAAATACATTGGACACTATTGTAAGTGGAGGTAATATGCTGTCTTAGTAGTCAACCACTAGCAGTGGCTTACCTACTTCACATCGCTGGTGAGTATTGTATTTTGTTGATGCTATAAAGATTACCATTTTATTTCCAACTTCCGTTTTGGTTATTCCTCATTCAGTAACCCTTTCTAGGTTACAACAATTATTAATACTTTATATATAAAGATATTTCTTTATGGCTTTGTGTAAAAATTGTCCAAATGATTGTTTGTTCTGAGTGCTTGATAACATTAACTATGAACACTGCAACAATATACTGGCCATATTTGGGAACTAAGAATGTCTACTTTTCAGTAAATTATGCACCATTTACAATAGCACAACCAAAATCCTTGAAATTGGCTGATAGATTAGCTAAAATTGCTCGGAAAAAACAATCATTTGAACAGTCTTTGCACATACTAAGTCCACAAAAAAAAATCTTTCTCTCTGAATTTCTGAGATGAGAAAATATTGTTATTACTTAGTCAAACTATTGTCCTCATCTTTGTTATTATTAACTGTTGTGCCCTCTAGCCTTCATCAGATAATTGCCGATCTGGGTAACCTTTAGAGACTTTCAAATTGAATACTTTATTTAATCTACAAAGGTAGTGTATACCCATTGCACTGTCCATGTCATAAATCATTAGTGGAAAGATGTTTAATATTGCTTTTCTGACCACTACTAATATTAAATCAGCTAAAATGTCAATTCTGTTTTTAAACATTAGATAGTACTAGGGTTATTTAATTTCAACTAAATTAAATAAAAAGATCACTTTTGATTGTATTGTAATAGCAGTCATAACAATATATTTGTACAGATTATATGAATGGACAGTGTAGTAATTAAATAAACAATGTTAAGTATAACAGAAATTTAAAGGTGAATAAGCATAGCAAAAATACACTTCAGAAACTAAGTAAAGTATGAAGAGATTGAAAAATCACATTAGAAATGGAGAAAAAGAATAAACAACTGTTATGCAATGTGAGAAATTCATTATTAATAAAGAAAAGATGTGATTCTACTGACAAATGTTGAGAATGCCATAGACAGAGCATGTGACAAAAGAGGAAGTCTTAAGAATTTTAAAAAGTACACATACATACACACATTTCTTTGTGTTTATTGGTAATTGCAGATTTTAAAGTTTGTTTCTATATTTTCTAATTAAGTGTCTCATTGATCATTTTGTGAAATCAAATATTATAAAATAGAAACTGATCTACATTCATTGAATCCTTTTTCCCTTTTTTTTTTTTTTTTCTATGGGCATTTAATAAGAACATACTTTCACTACCATTTAATACTTTAGGTCAATGGATTTTCAACCAGTGTACCATGAGAGGATCATCTATAGATGGTACAATTTGACAAGGATTTGCTGATGAACACCAAGTTGATTTTGGGATTGACTCAGAAATCCTTCATTTTGCATGTATTGAATTTGCCTGAAGTAGTGACAATGTGTAGCTTGTACTGAACATATTTTTTATTACATAGTGTTCAATTAAATTTCTTTAAAAATTTTAATTATCTTTTATTACAAATTATAACAAATGGTTTTGTTTGTGTCAATAAATAAATCATAAAAAGTATACTTTATTTTTTATTACATTTTTTTTTTTTATCATCATAATTTAAGTGTGCCACAGAAGTTTAATTATAGGTTCGAGTGTGCTGCAAGATAAAAAAGGTTAAAAAAATATTGCCTTAGGTAATTCCATTGAATGTCAACCATGTGTCAATTGACCAGCACCTTTTGATCAAATACTCTATAAACTGATTTAACAATATTTCTCTTTTGTTCATTTATATTGTACATGTCTTTTCTTCTTTGATGGAATTATTTTGAGGTGAAAGCAAATAACTTTGTAATTGGAAAAAAAAAATATTGAAATTTTGATTGGGACTAGATTATTTGAAAAGCCAAACACTTTGAAATAATTTGATGAATAGAGTTCAGTGCAAATTACATCAAGAGACTAGCATCCTAAAGAAAACTGACATTGATGGTCAATACTTAGAATATTTATGCTAGTTTTTAATGTTTTGTTTTAATCCATATCCTTCTGGTGTCAGTTTATTATATATACTCTATGTGAACAGTTTCTTTTACCGCACTTCTTGCTTGTGTAACTCCCTTTCAGCTTTCTGTGGAAAATGTTCAGATGATCTAAATTAGTTCTACCAGTTCTTGCCTTCATAACTAGGACTCACCATGCCATGTGCAAACCATCCTCATTCCCTTTGTATTCCATTAGTAAGAAATAATTGCCACTTGAGCAGCTTCTTTCCATGAATTGACTCTGAAGAGACTGCTTTCCCAACTACTGTAATCTTAACCATTTCGAGTCTAGGTTAACCATTATCTTTCTTAAATATCCTCATAAAATGCACCTGTTACCACACAACAAACTCCTTCAGTAATCCTCTACCTTGAGTGGTTCTTGAGACTTGTATAGGGTGAACATTAGCAAAAAAAAAAAAAAAATTTTTTTTTTTTTTTTTTTTTCATATATTTAAAGTCTAATTATAAACTTAAATTTTGGAAAATGAAAATTTTCCTGAATTATGTTGAAAAATTTACAAGTTTTCATCTGAAATCAAGAAAATACAAACTTTAAGCAATATGGTCAATAAATGGGAAAAGGCATAAGTTTGAACTGATACTAGGGGGATATGGGTTAGGATTTGTGGTCTATGTGCAGAAGTTAATGATTTATTTCCTAGCATAGTGATATCATTCTTGAAAATTAAATACAAAGCAAATGATTAAAAACAAATAAATATTCATTTTCTCTTGATTATTTGCTTATTAAAATTATGTTTATTATGAAAAAGTTTGAATCTCTTTTTCAAGATTGCTTAAATTTTCTTGAAAAAGATTGAATTATCTTTGCAAAATTTCATGGTCCTTTCTTTCCCCCTCTCCTGATCTTCTTCTGTTTGCCTTTCCTTTTCCTACTCACTCTCATTCTATTTTTTTCAGTTGCCTCAGGAATTGTCAAAAGCTGTTTTTCCTCCCATTTTTAATCAAACATTCTCTTTATTTATACAACTGACAATTTACTGTTATTTTATTTCTTCCTGTATCTAATTAAAATACAATTCACAGCTTATTTTTCTGTTAACATAGAATTTTTTTATTATATATATATATATATATATATATATATATATATATAAAATGAGAAATGAATGGAAATGAATTTGTTTACACTGTGATCTTAATTTGTTCTTAGGCCAAACTTACTATGTCTCATCTCATCAATATACAAAGCTAAAAAAAAAAAAATTACAAAATAATATTTGAAATCTTATCGATTTCACTCGTTTAAATTGAATAATAAAGAATTAAAATGGCCGCCTGGACTCATCTTCATCACGACTGAGTGAGATGTTTTGTCGATTGTTTGTTTGTGGCTGGCTGTAGTTATTCTGTGTCCCTTCCCCACCCTTCCCCAAATGTGAGTAGGGCTGCTACTGCCAATGCTAGAGTAAAGCCTTACCCATGCCAGCCTTTCCTGCCCCCACAGCCGCCTGCTCCACCCACTTGGTGTAATGTTATCCACTTTGCCTTTCTCTGCATTTTACCTTCTCTCTCTCTGTAATTAGGTCATATAAACTCCCCTCATCAAACTAATTTTTACTCTTTGCATTAGTTTTTCAATGTGTCTTTTAACAACTTTTTTGTTATTCTTGATTTTTTTTTATTTTGATGTCTAATAGATAAAAAAAATTATATAAATAATCTTGTTTTAAAAACAAATTAGCAAAATTAGTCAAATGATTTCAGTTGAAATTTTTTTTTATTGAGGTTTTTTTATTTTATTTGTGTCATTTTGGATAAAATAAAACCAAAAACCAAAGCCGCTTGATGGCAAGAAACTTTTTTTTTTCTATTTTTCTGACTGTAAGTTACCAGCAATTTCTTGATGAACAACATAACTACTTAACAATTCCACATTTATAGAAATGGCCTTGAATATGTGGGGCTCTTAAACAAATGATGCAAACATTACTTTCCTATGTCTACCTGTCAATGAATCTTACATTTTTTAAGAGAATTTCTACTCTTCTAAGCAAATCTAACAAATGCAGATGTCTATATTCAGTGCACCACCAAAATTCTAATAACTGATACTGTGGCTACCTTGTCCAATGGGACAAATTTACAAAATGGCTGTTGAAATTTGCTAAGCTTCAAGACTATTTTATGTACCAGACACAGCTTATGGCTTTATTTTATTTTAAATTTGTTTTCATTTATAATTAAATATGGCAACATCTAAGAGAGGTAAAATTGTCAGAGGGGACTTAAACATAGACATTATTCAAGAGAAGGTTGAACCATTGAAAAAAACAAAACAAAAACAACCTTTAACCCTGGTCAATGATAGTGGTGAACCAGTGATGTATTTATGCAGCATTAGCCAAGTAGAATCATTAACTCAGTAAAGTTTCAGATCCTTGAGTGCCAGAAAAAATGAAACTTTTTAGATAAATCTATATTTTTTTTTTCTCAAAGTGGAAAGCTCACACACACACATAAATAAGAAACTTCTTTTTAGTGGATACCCATATTTGAGTAGATGCTCTGTTTTAAATTATTAAATAGTATATTTATATTAACTAACCTGAATATTTGAGAAATCTTATTAGAAAAAATGTAGGATTCGAACTTTTGTTCCCCTAGGGGAAACAGTCATTAGATCTGACCTACTTTGACCTCTCGGCTACAGAGAGCCTGAAGACCAAGCAAAGCCTAAATAGTGTTTTTTAAACACAGATTTTTCCCACTTGATATTTACACCTCTAACATAAACAAAGCAATTTTTAGGGATGGATTTTTCCTCTACTAAACATATTTTTTCTTTTTCAGGTTTAATTAATTAATGTCAGATTATAAACAAAGCCCATTAATTTCTTAGAAATTACTTTGTTAACTTTTATTTTTGTAAACAGAGAGATCTGAGCAAGATATATCGTTCACTTCACACTCTTCCTTGGTCTTTTGAACAAGAGTAGGCTCTTAACCCTTGTTTCTTGTTTAGGATTGGGTTTCCAGTTCCTTCTAAAGTCTACTTCAACTTTATACTTCTAACATCTCCACCTAAACTCTGAAATTTTATTTACTGTTTATTTATTTTTTTCTCGATTGGAGTAAATGGATTCACACCCCTCCCGGTCTTTTGAACAAGAGAGGTTTATCTCTTTTCTCTTATTTAGAATTGGGTTTCCAGTTCCTTCTAAAGTCTTCACATTCTATTTCACTCTTAGTATCCCCTTGCATCTTACTGGAATTACCTCCTTGCTTGGGGTGAACTGATTAAAAGAAAAAAAAAAAAAGAAGGGTAATTGGAGTTTGCTTAACTGAAAGTCTTCCATGGCTGAAAGGTTTAAAAAATACCAGGTTTAATGGCGTTTTCCTCTACAAACAGGGCACAACTTCAAACCTTGTGATAAGACAAATTTTCTTTAAGACTTTCAAATACATAAGCCAGTAGACATCAAATCTACACTGTTTAAAAACTGTAATGTTTACTCAAACGTGTATATCAACTAAATATAACATTTCAAGTAATAAGAAATATATTACTCAAAATGAATTTATTACTGCTGCTAATAGTCTGGCATTCAGAACTTCTCCACAAACAGAAAAGTTATGGTATCTCCGGGCACATTTTTGAGCTGATACAGTCATTCCTATCAAATTGTGACTGAAATTTACCCTGAATGGTCACTCGTCCAGATCTTTTCATAGTAATGCTGATGTCTGCCAGGGCTCTATCCTTGGTCCTATGCTGTTTTTAATCTTCATTAATGACCTTCCCAATGACATTAGCTCTCAACTTGTCATCTACGCTAATGACACTACCATTTACTCCTGCCGCAATAGTAAGACTGATCAGTCCAACAAGGTCAAAATGTTCAGTGTTGTGCAAGACTATTTTTCTCTTTGAAATCTATCTTGCATATCTGTAAGTTTACCATTTGTCCATTCTTAGAATATTGCTTCCATATATGGACCCATGACCCTGCTATTTACATGGAGCTCCTTGATAAGATGCAAAGGAGAATCAGCAATATTATTGGTCCTGATCTGGTGGCTTGGCTTCAGTCACTTGATCATCATCATAAAGTTGCTTCTCTTGTGTTTTTTTTATAAATACCTTCATGGTAATTGTTCAGATGAGCTGTTTGCTATAGTTTGCGACTGTATGGATTTAAGTGCAATAGTAGACTGGAGGCAAAATCTCATCAATTTACAGTTGAGTGAGCTAGATGTGGCTATAACTTCTATGCTAACAGTTTCTTTTCTCACACTTCTCACTTGTGGAACTCCCTTTCAGGCTCTCTGCTTTCCAGCCAACTTTAATCGACAAAAATTTAAATGCAATGTCTGTCATTATCTACTGTCTTCCTGTATACTCTTTTCTCTTTCTACTCATTACTAATGTTTCTGCTCCTAATTCCTCCATACCTTTGCAGCTTAGTGGCTGTAGTGCTTTGCTTGGGGTGATACTGATTTAAAAAAAAAAATGTAAGTAAAAACATCACACAGAGAATTCTTCTGTCAAAGTATAGTAAATCTAATTATTTAATGATTGATTTGTTTTCTACATCTTATCAACCCTTTGCAAGTTATTTAAAGCCAGAAAATACTTTTAGATTGTATGATTTTTTTTTATTTGTAGATAATGATTGTGATACAATTCTTACTAATTAACCCATAGCTGGGGGAGCAGAGGTGGATTTATACCTTTCCCGAGGGTGTTTGCTGTTAAGTGAATATATTACAAATCCAAATGAAATTGGAATACAGCTCTCCAATTAACAACTTTCCCTTACAGCACCTGGTATTCCCAAGCAGTCACCCACCTAGGTACGAATCAGGCTCGACATTGCTTAACTTCGGTGATTGTACGGAAACCAGTGTTTCAAAGTTATATGGCCATAAGCCCAATTTAAGCTTGTATCATTTGAAACAAAATCTCAATAATAATTGTAGTAATAACTTGTACATATCTGGTATACACTTATTAAATTGGATGACATTGTGTTTATTGAGCTTTGTATATTTATATCCCATTTTCACTTCTCTCTCCCATCATCATAATAATAATAATGATGATGGCAATATTAACAAAAATGAAATGAATTCCAAATTACTTAGCTCAGATTTTTCCAAATAATTAGCCACGGTTTATCTTAATGTGTCAGAATCAAATGAACAAAACATTCTCATCAAAATGTTGATATAAAATGTAAAATATGTCACTTACATGGCACACTATATAAACTTTAGGATCATTGATGGAAAGGATATAAAAGAAGATTGTACTACCTCTAGTATGATGATAGTTATCCTGTTTGCATACACATTTCATCTATTAACGGTAACAACTATTATGAGACAAAGATAATATTTGTACTTTGTAATTAATTAGTTTGGAATTTAAGTAGGCATTGTGTTTGGTAGAAAGTGCTCAATTTCCTTCAAAATTGTCACAATGAATCTTGCAGGCAAATTAGAAAATAGAACTTTTGAGTTGGAAAAAGACAGAATTTTTTTTTCCCAATCATTTCACCCCAAACAAAATGATAATGCCACTAAGATGCAAGCAGTTACTGAGGGCGAAAGAGAATTAGAAGATTTTAGTAGAAAGAACTGCAAACCGAACCCCAAAACAAGGAAGCAAGGGATAAACCTCTACTATTGTTCGAAAGACTGGGAAGGAGTGTAAACTTTAATCAAGATCCATTGCAGCTGTTGGCATTTTTTTTCTTTCCTCTACACTTTTGCAATAATCTATTGAAGTCAACTTTGTATTTCTTGCTAATGAATCTTTGCTAATTCAAATTGATGTGTTTTAGCCAATGATTTGATTAATCTTTAACACTCTGCATTTAAGGATACTGCATCTCAGTTGCAGTATCCTTATTATTAATTTCACTCAAAGTTGTTTTTTACTGCCATAGCAGGATATGACAACACAACTATGAAATTCAAACACACCATTGTTCAGGGATCAGTCACCTTCAGTGGCAGGATAAACTTTTTGTACAATGATAAAGGTTAAGCAATACTAGTTATGTTTGTTTAATTTTTTCTCTTTTAGATATTTACATTTCATTTTTTTTTTTTTAATTTATTTCAGAAAGTAACCATATACCTTGCATGGTACTGGTACATTACAGAATTTTATGCTGATTGTAACTTTACTGGTCAAAAGATTGTATTAAATATGGAGGGTGGAGGAAATTCTTTATTTCTAAAAAGGATTTGTGTAACCTGTCATTCTTCTTCTATTTCAAGTAAACTCAAACACCATTTACTATTTTCTTTCATTTTTCTGTCTCTCCTGTTTTAGTCAATTGCCATCTCTTTTGTGTTCCAGCTCCCCACGAGAGTGCAGCTCCTCTTTAATCCACTAAATGTAGCCAATGAATCAGTCTTCTAATTTGTGGTCATTCCATCACATTTTACAGATTTCTATAGAGCTATATTGTTTGTTTTTATTCTTGACATGATACACCAAAAATAGCCCTGAGCATCCTCATGTGTTCTCTCAAGCCTATCAATCATCTGCTTTGTTAACTTTTATCTTTAATGGAATATAGACTACTGTTAGAAAAAGTACAAGAGATTCTTACTGTATAATATACTAAAAGTTTTTGTTTGTAATATCTGTAACTTTTCATCCTTGTTCTTTTTTTTTAATAATTTTGCAACAAAGTCTTAAGTAATCTTGTTAGTTCAAGAGAATATGCCATTAGATATAATGAAACAATTCTAAGGTACTCAGAAAGTAATTATGTATTTCAGCACTATGAATTATGTGTCAACCAAGACAGAACCAAAGTTGAATGGCAGGAAACTGCATTTAGAATTAGAATGAGAATCTGTAGGTGTTAAATCCACTGGGTATAAAGGATATAGAATAACCGCCCATCTAATAATCTTATTTTTGTGTTGTTTGTTCCACAGAGTATAACTTTGCATTCTTCTGCTAGAGAATAACACCATTTCTCTTTACTAAAGCTGGAGACTTGATTTGATGCTTTATTTACCTAATCAAGTTGCTAGCAATAAACATCATCTCTTCTATCTGATTGTATATTCTTTATAGTAGGTACTGGCGTGAGATTGCTGGAAAAATGAGCATAGCATTATAAAAGCTGCCTTAAACTTGACGAAAATAATTTTTTTATTGTCTAAATGTTTGTTATTATAAAGAGGAAAGATCAAAGTATTTTTTGATTATTTTTTTTTTACATTTTTTAATCATTCCTAGCATGTCCAAAATTGTTGTTTAAAATCATGTTTTTTTTTTAGTCAGGAAAAATTGATTGTCAGCTATTTTTTTTTTCAATTTTGTAAACAAAAGTTGATTTTTCCGTTTAAAATTCTTTCAAAAATCAATTATACTTTTTTAAAAAATCTATTTTAACAAAATTAGAAATTTTAAAGTTTATTTAATATATTTGAAAAAAAATATTTCTTACTTTGTGCCGAAAATTGTATTTTAAAAACAAGTGACAGCAGGTCTTAACAATGTCGACATGTGATTGATGCTTTCAGCACGTATTGACAGCTTAGGCAAGGAAAAGTTATTGTATGGAAGGACAGAAGTGACATAATTTAGCTTTTTATTGAACTAACTTATTTACCTTTTTATTTTTAAGGAAAATTTGTAAACTAAGGTTGTTGAAAGTGAAATAAAATTTCATAAGAAAGGTACATGAAATTAATTTAGGTACCTTTCTTATGAAAGGTTAAGTGTATATAAAATATAATTTAATATACATTTATTACATTTTACGGTATTATTTATATTTTCACTCATTTTATTAATTTTGATATTTCATTTATAGAAAAATGTCATAACTAACTGAGATAATATAAAAATAAGACTATATAAATTTCATAAGATAGGAACATAATACTTTGTAGGTACCCTTATCATTTGAAATATTATACAATTTTTTTCTCTTTTCATGATGCTTCTGGTCTTCCGTATATTTGAATTACAGCCATTTTATGGACACAAAAAAACGTTATATTAGATTTTTATCTATTTGGGGTTTGCTGATTGTAACCAACTTTATAATTTATAACCTGTAATGATATATATCTACTTAATAACACTATCGTCTGAACTGCACACCATTTTCATTAATTTTAGAAAATTTAACAACTTTAATATAAAAAAATAAAATAATTTAAGAAATAACAAATAATTGTTGTAAAAATTTATTTTGCATCAAAAACGTTTTTTGCTTTCAGACAATATTATCCATATTCATAAAAACAAGAGGAACTAAAAGCTTTTGAAATTAAATATCTTTGTTTTATTGAATTTTGTATCTTACTTAATTCAGAGCTGATTTTAAGGTAGAGGTGGAGGTCAACTAAAAAAAAAAAAAACATGATTTACTTTCCTCAAAGCCTTGTGCTTTTAACTAATTAATCACTAAAAATGTACACATTTGAATTTCAAGAGTTTTCATAAAATTAGTTATGGGGCGGGTAATAAATATAAAAAAAAATACCATGACTTTAAAAAAAATAAATGTATTTATAATAATTTCCATCATTTGTGAATAGTTTCTGAAAATTTCATTAAAATCTGACATTTATTTTTATTTTTGCAAGATTTTCAAATTTAATGTCTGTCATAAAAAAAAAAAAAATTGCTGTTATTTACTAGTAGTTCTGCTGATGAAGAGAAATAAGGTTTTTCAATCAAAAGTTAGAATGTTTTAAAGACAGAAAAATTAAAAAAAAAAAATTAAAAATTACTTCGTTCTTTCCTCTTAATAGTAATATAAACATTTTGACGATAAAATTTTGTTTTTGTCAAGTTTAAGGCCTTTATTATCATGTTATACTCATTTTTCAGCGATCTCACGGCAGTACTTACTTTATAGTGTATTTCAGAGATTAATTGATAAAACTTGCAATGAGGGAATTTGTGTTCCTCATGATCTTTTGTTTGAGAACTGAACATAATGTTCCACCATCTGCAGCAGTCTTTTAACCAGGAATGCCAACCTTTCATTTTTGCAATGCATTATTATGGGTGATGAAAAATGGGTTTTGCATGTCAAAACAAATATAAACAATGGTTATCACCAAATGTTAAAGCAATGCCAACACCAAAGCCAGAACACTGTCCACAAATGTCATTGCTTTGTGTCTGGTGGAATATGAAAGATTTCATCCATTACAAGCAAATGAAACATAGGAGTTCCATCATTCCAGATATTTATTTCTGTCTAGCTGATTAGGTAAATGTAGCATTACATTAAGTTTCTTGCTTTGGTAAAGAGAAAAGATGTTGTTCTCCAGCCTAACAATGCCAGGGCACACTCTGTAAAATGACCCCTCCCCCCAAAAAAATAAGATCATTAGGATATGCAGTTATTTCATATCCTTGATACTCAGCAGATTTATCACCTACAGATTCTTATTTCTTTCACTCACTCGAAACATTTTATAAGTGGCAGAATGTTCAGAAACAAAACAAAAAAAATAATAATCAAAATCGGTTTTCCAAACTTTTTTGTTGGAGAAAAACCCAAATTTCTTTAAATATGGAGTTGTAAATTTGCCTTCCCAGTTGTTGAAAATGAAGATGATTACTCTTTTGATAAATAATATGTTATAGACAAGCGTATGGTTGCAAGAAAGAAATACGACAACAGCAGAAATAGATTTACTTGGTTTATTTCAACAGGAACGTGTGGGTTTGGGACAGCTACCTTGTGGTATAGTTCATAAGCTTGCTTCGGATCTATGTTGATCTCTCATAGTAGTTCACATATGTTGATGGTGGTTGATGCTCCCCTGCTGTCAGTTACTGACCGTGACATGTCTGTTCCCTGGCCACCTGTGGACTGCCTGTTGAACTTCCGTGTGACCCCTTTTATAGCGTTTTTTTATGGCTTAACAGGCTCGAAAAATGAAGCGAGTATAATTAGGAGAGAAGCATTTTTATTGGACGAAAAATAGAACACTTTAATAATTTTTTTATTTTTCGACCGGAACTCGTGTGTTGGGAACATTTGTAAACAAAGATAATGGTCATTTTGTGACGGGGCTTTGTCCCGTTCACATCCGGCTCTCGCTCTTGAATATTTGCCTGTAAATCAGCCGAGATGTGTCTTATTTTATTTTATAACAAATACTTAAATAAATCTAACTTACATTTGTTTTTATCTTCTTTCTAATAAAATGTAATTGCTTTTTGAACATCCTAATACATTGGTTCTTAACCTTTTTTACACAATGCACCCTTTTCACCATATGTCGGAATGTTGCCCCCCCCCCCCATCACTACTTTTCAAGACTGTCCAACTCAAATGATGCATTTCAAATAATATGCATATATTATTGAAAATCTTCATTCTTTGCCATATATATTTACATAAACTATTTTATAGAAGGGTTTTACAAATTTAATAGCAACAATAAATGTTGATGGATTTTTAAACTTTAATACAAGTACAGTAATTTGTTTTAATTCACAACTAATTATCAAATAAATAAACTGAGGCATACTTCAATAAACAAAAAGCCACAAACCAGCTTCCGAGAGATTGTTTCTCCATTCACTACAATCTTAACCTCTTCAAATCTAGAGTTAACCATTATCTTCCATACATATCTGAATAAGCTGTGCCTCTTATTCTGTAACCCTATACCTCAAGTGACCCTTGGGCCTTGTACATGATGAACATCATTGTGTAAAAAAAAACAAAAAAAACTGTTTGGCTTCAACCACAGCCTCAAGACGACATTGGAATCTCCTGCAACTCTTCTGGACAGTCTCATTGTACAAGTTGGTGAATACTATCATAATCCTTACCTTCAGTTCTTTTTTGATGTTACAAGGAGCTTTGTTGGTCACTCGCTCAACTGTGCCTCACACATAATAATCAAGAGGATTGCAGTCTGGGGAGTTAGGTAGCCAGATGTAAGGGGCTGATGTGATCGCAGAAATTGTCTGATAGCCATGACTGGGTTTTCCTGTTTGTGGATCGTTGTGCAGTCCTGTTGCCAGACATAGGGTCTTCCAACAGCCAACCTCTTGACCCAGGGCAGCACTACCTCCTCAAGGCACTTGATGTAGACCTTCAAGGAATTAGTGGGAAGATGAATGCAGGTATCACTAGTGATCACTCCAAATATCTTCATAATCACCATTATACTCATCCAACTCTTTACAAATCCACTGATTGACACCCAAACACTCTGAAATGTTCGTATTAGAGCTTCCAGCATGAATGCCAAGCAGTACAGTATACCATTTCCAAATTTCTGGCAGAGTGAATTGTGTTGTGTTGCTTTTTTTTTCTTACAGATGGTGCCCAACTGACTTTACTGTGCAGTTGCCAAAATCAAAAAACGCACATGCACAAAATTAGAAATATAAAATGGTGACAATCTACCCATCGCACCCTTTAGATTATCCACTGACACTGTCAATAGTTATATTTGCATACATATTTTGGTGAACATGGATAAATTTGCCTGCAATAAGACATAGTATCAAAAAGATGGTTTTTCCCATGACACCACTTTTTTAACTACCATCACTCTTCGTTAATGTTTGTTTTATAAAAACTGATGATTAGAATTAGAATAAAACCTAAACATATGATGAAAGTGAATTTTTACATTTTCTTTTGTTAAGAACTTACGACAAAAATATTAAACACTATTTATTCATTAGATTGTTTGTTTACAAGAATAATTTATATTTACAACATTTTAAAAACTCGTACAATTAGAACTAATGCAATGCAATATTTATCATTTACTAATTTATAAGGATATAAATATGAAAACAATGTTTTATTCATAAATTTATTAATTTAAAATATGTGAAATAACCATAAAGAAATCCTTATTTACTATTTTATAAAGTTTAAATCAATTGGCAATTAGCTGATGTTTTGCCAACCATTCCATTAAATAATCTAATAAATAAATAGTGTTTATTATTTTTGTTGTCAATTTTCATGAACAAAGAAAATGTTTCATTTTCATATGTTTAGGTTTTATTCTAATTCTAAGCATCACTTTTTAAAACAAGAAACATTCCCGATGGATGAAGGTAGTTAAAAAAACAATGTCATGGGAAAAACGCCCTTTTGAGACATCCTGTTGTCAGTACATTTCATATTTTCCCATATTTCATACACTATAACATTGATTATGGGACAGCAGTGATGGCATTATATTGAATCATTTGAATCTTATTTCAATTTTCAGATACAAATTATATATAAACTGTACTTGAGTGGCTCCCGCACTCAACAAAACGTTTCTGTAATCATCCAAAAATTTTTTCCCTCTTTCTTACTACTTTGTGTTTGCATTCTTTTTGTTATAATTATAATGTTTACAATATTTGTTTAACAATAATATTTCTGCATGAATTTCTAGAATGCGGAGTTATCATTATTTGGACTAATGTACACGTCTTGTTAATACAATGTTGTGGCCATTGTGCTTTCCAGCCTTCCTCAGGTGTCTGTTGATCCAGATAACATTCACAAATTTCAAACTGAACCCCCTTATCTAATCTACATAGGTAGATTGTTCTGATGTCCATGCCTAGGGATATTTTGTTTTTAGTACTTCTCAGTTATTGATTGCGACTTGTCATGGTTTCCATCTAGTCTGTCTGCTACTACAGGACTATAGTCTAGTATATTAAAGTATTGGTTCATGAAGTTAATGGCATAAATTGTGATTCCAATCACAGAGCTGGGTAGTACAGACTTAAGCAGTGGAAACAATGTGAGCAATAATTGAGTTGTACTAAAAAGAACAAGACTAGATATCCCTAAACATATTTAATCTATCTCTGGAGATTAAAAAAAAAATTTACTTCAAAATTCCCTAAAGATTACCTGAACTGACAGTCACCAGAAGAAGGCTGAATGTCACAATGACCGAAACATTATGATAACAACAATAAAGATGCGGATATTAGTCAGAATATAAATATTATTAATGTTTATAATATTTTTATTATTGTTTATAATATTTATTTACAGCATTTTTTTAATTTTGTCTCTTGCATGAAAAACTTAAATTGGCATTTGTAGCTATAATCATTGCGCTACTGATTTTGTCATTCATTAAATCGAACATAAATTTAAAAGCCATACATTGTTAAAAAAATCATTGATTAGCAAAAATTGTTTTTCATTAACACTGAAAAATGCTCAAATAATAAACATGTTTGGATGATGAATGATAATTTTCTCACATAGATCAAAGCCACACTTAACAATATACATTGATAAACAGCTCTTTGTATAACCATTTAGAAATATTTGTCAAGATTAAGTAGAAATAAAGGTTCAATTCTTTTGAGAAGTTATTCAAAATGACCTCAGTGATGAAATATTATTTTTAAGCTTGTAAGAACAAGCAAGGTGGTAATTACACTGAAGTGCCAAAATATAAGATAACGGTACATTGGATGTTTTTACCTCTTTTAAAATTAGACTCAAACAGATGATCTAATGTGATAGATAATGTAATGTAGTAGGTAAAAAGGCAGTATAGCTTTGGCAGCCATTAAGCACAAAGAGGATTTGACACCATTTGATTTCATTTGTACCCAACATGCTCACCAAATTTAAACTCCTCTGAGTTTGCAAGCACAACCAATAAACACAGTTATGGACATCCCATGAATAAAAAATAGAGGAGTTTTTTTTAGAGATGAGGGTGCAATCATCATTCTGCAACATTTGTTGGAATCAAAAAATATTTATTTTTACATTTTAGAAGGTGGGGGTCCTGTTCATAATATAAATACAGTGTCAAATCTATCCCTGACTTTTTAAATAGTTATCATTTACTATTTACAAATTTCAAGTTTGAAACTGCTTATGTCATTGATAACTGCATACAAATTGAGAAAAAGAACATCAGTATTAATCAATAGTGCAAGCACAATTTCAAAGTTGACATTTGTAAATAAAAACAAAGTACAGATAACTCTTTAAGAAATAAAGGGTCAATTTAATATTGTATTTATATATGAACAGGACATCAATTCTAAAATGATTTAAAAAAAAAAAAACAAATGTTTTTATTTATTTTGACAGATGAAATCTAATGTAAGCTAAGCTATAACCTCCCCCCAATTTATTTAATTTTTTTTTTTTTTTAAGAACTGGCTAGTCAATTTAAGGAATCCTTTGAATGTGCCTGGATAGCTACACTAATGCAATGACTCTGTTGTAGACTCTATGCTACATTGTATAACCACTATTATGAAAATGAACAAAAGAGCTAGACTTTAGGTGGCTGTCTCAAAATTTTAGCACTTCAGTTTATTGATAAGAATAAGAAGTTTTTGCAGTATTACAAAATAATGCCGAATATCGATATCAATCAAATACTATAAACATGTGTGGCAAACATCAGTGCTTCTATCGAAATACCTTAAAATCCATCTTTTATAATTCCCTAGCTGTGTATCATACATGCTAAACAAGATGCTGTGTTTGTTCAGTAAATTTTGTCAGATTAAAGCAACAGCCAATAAATAAATAAATAAATTGTATATTTTATTTGGTTTATAGGCAAAACAACCAATTGGGGCCAAAATACGATTTCTTATCTAGATTGTGATTACTTTGCATGGGGAAAATGCAATGGCAGTCATTCTATAAACAGAGCTTTTGAATATATTTCCTTATTTCAATTTCTGGGTTTTTTTTGGGTTTTTTTTTATTGTTTTTTGTTTTTTTTATTTATTTTTTTTTAACTCTTTTCTTGATTTGTTTATCCTCATCAGAATCTTTTCTTTTATTGCAGAGGAGAAAATCTTTCAAGCAACAGCCAAAATAGCAGATCGCAAATTGGAGCTACAGCAGGCAAAGAGAATTCGAAAAAATAGACAGGGTAACTTATATTATTTTTTTTTCTTCACTTAGATAATGTAGGGTATATATAATCTCATACTAATTTCAAAATTATATATATTAATTCAGTTCCTGTTGCTACATTATAAGCCACTATGATTGAAAGATATCAAATTTTTAAATAAGTAAAAATTTAAATGAATAAATAAGATGAATAGAAATTTAAATAAAATAAAAAATTTAACTGGTGTCCATGTGACATAATCTTTCAAGTAAATTGATTGATTAATTTTTTACAGCTTATCAACCCTTTACAGGTTATTTAAATCCAGAAAATATTTTTAGATGTAAGATTTTTTTTTTTTTTAGATAATGGTTTAGTGATAACAAGTCTTACTAATTAACCCATTGCTGGGGGGGAAGAGGTGAATTCTTATCTTTCCCAAGGATATTTGTGCATAAGTGAACATAACAAGTCCATAACCCTACCTGAATATGTAAGCTTACAATATCTGGTATTCCTAAGTGGTCACCCATTTAGGTATTGACCAGGCACAACATTGGTGATCATACAGAGAATCAGTGTTTCAATGTGATGTCACCGTAAGCCTTGTCATATAAATTAAACTTTTTTTTATTAAAATTTCAAAATAGCTTAGTTGTTAAGATCTCAGAATGAATAGCATTAGAAAAAAATAACTGATGTAATTGTGATTGACAAACCTTTCCAAGTAGATTAAGAAGTGAAGAGTGATTAATAGCCATTATAGTTGAACAATTAGCTTTTTTCTTGCATTAGAAATAAAAATGGATATGAATATAATGTTTGATTTGGATTTTATATATAACTTTGTTGTATTGCCTAAATCAGTTTGGTTTAAATAAATTGAAACACTTCATTTACAATTGCATGAAAGCTGGATTTAAAAAAAAACAAAGTCTGTATAGTTTTTCCTTTACAGAACATCCCATTTTTCTGGTGTTAAAAAGTTGATAAATTATCTTGATTAGTTCAAAATGACCAAAATACATAAACACTGTGTGTGTGTGTGTGTGTGTGTGTTTTATAATGAAAAGGATTTTTTTTGCTTTTATTTTGAGTGAGATTTGACTTCAGACATAATTTGAACTCCTGTTGTCCTCTAAAAAAAAAATAACAATCTGATAAACCCTGATTTGCAATAGGACTTTAAAAAAAGATTTTACTAGAATTCTTGAACTATGTATATAGTTTGGAAATATTGCAGTTCTGCATTTCATATATATATATATATATATATATATATATATGCAAATGTCACGCTTTTTTCAATTAAAGGGACACAACTCTATAACTTTCAATAGCCCATGTTACAGAAATTTTGGATTCCAAGTTTTTCTTACTATTATTTATTTTTTTTTATGTGATTTTTGATACCAATTTTTATAACTTAGAAATAAATTTGTGAATGATGGAAATTAATTACGAAATCTAGCGAAAATCACCCATGAAATAGAATAATTGTTTGTATGGAAAGTAAGAACCAACTTACATCAAATTGCCTTTAAATTAAGTGGCGTCAGAAGAATTATCATTGAACTCTTAAAAGGTAAGCTTAATTATTAATGCAACATTTAAATGCAGCTATAAATTTTGAGTTATTTCTTTAGTTTATTGTTGCCTATTGCATACGGCAGCAGTATGCCTTGCAAAACAAAATTTCCATCAACAGAGGACCAGATTACAATCAAAAGAGCCAAGGCTGCGGTGAGGAAAAGAAAGTCCCGTGCAAATGAGAACCTAGATAAAATGGCAGCCAGGAGAGATTCCAATGCTGAGAATATGCAAAGACTAAGGGACTCTCAAACTCCTGAACAAACTGAAGGCCCAATCAAGAGCCAATCAAGAAAGATTGTTTTGCCAACTGAAATATAGTAATCAACCAATGTATTTCTGGAGGTTAATGCTTTTAAGGCCAGCAGTTTTCTGTAAGTAAATTGATCATTATTAAGAAATAGTGTTAATTGTACATAAATAAATTGTTCCAACTTATCTTCCTGGCTCAGAGTTTTGCCGAAAAATATATATATATAAATATATATATAGAGAGAGAGACTTTATATAATTTTCACTAAATTATCTAATACACATAAACAAATTTTAAATTAGATTATACTATAGCTTTAAAACAAGTTGATATAAAAAAACTAATGTCTTTTATGAAAAAATTATGTAATGTCTTTAAGAGAGAGACATATAATAACTTGAGTGCAGTACTAGATTGGAAGCTAGGTCTATATATATATATATATTACTAGCAGCATGGCCCAGCGTTGCCCGTACTTGATTAAAAAATTGTATTACTCGTACAGCAATCGCTATCACTTGATTTAAAATATTTTTGCCCTTCCTTGCCTTTAAAGGAGTGCCCTTTGCCATGCTGATGTTGCTACATGCCTTACTTCTTGCCTATCTCACACTGCGAATTTTTTTTAAACTCTATACTAAACATTAAATCTCTTATGAAAAAAGAACTAAAAAAATTGAAAAAAAGGACTCGTAATTGGAAAAACCAAATGAAAAAAGAATGTTAACAATAAATACTTTTTCACACCCAACCCAATTCTGCGTAATCAGAATCAACGTTGAGTTTAAGCAAGTGAATGAGCCAATTGGAGTAAAGTGCCATGCAGATTTAAATTTTTCCCACTTGTGACGAATGCAGCTATCGATTTTTTTTTTTTTTTTTTTTGCATGCTAGTTAACATTCGTGCCAGTCAGCTCTTGGCTCTCACACTGGCCAATAGAATCTTCCTGCCTATTCATGGCAGCCAGCTATTGGCTCTCACTCTGGCCAGTAGAAAATGGCTGCAAACTACATGAAAACTGCTGTAAAAACATGAAAAAATTGATTATTTCCACTATTGATGGGAGTTGGGAAATGCACTAACTTGGAGCATGTGCATGTAAATTTTGGTGCAAATCCATTGAAAATTGTGGCCATGCATTCGTTACACACACACACACACATCCTGCCTTTTATAGATAGAGACTATATATAATCTGTAAATAAATTCAACTTAACTATCTAACACACTAGTTAATGAATACCATCTACAAAACTCTGAATTGGGAAGATAATGTTTTGAATGCGCACACACACACACATATATATATATTTCACAGAAAATATTCCTGTCGGAGGACGAATATTTTCTATGAAAATTTCTCGGACATTCAGGCTGGTAAATGTTGTTTAATACTGTTTATTATAAACAGAGTATTTACTTAAATATTTGTATCTATAAAAAGAATGTATAAACATAAAAATGTCTTAAAATATATATATATATATATATATAAATAATAGTCATTCAAAGAATAATTCAAAAAAGTTAATATAATTAATGGTGAATTCACTTTGCTAACAGATTAAGAAGGCATTAACTTACTGACCATTCACTGAATGACATGATCTTTGTTTTTATTAATTGTACTATGGATTAAATGCTCGGTCCATATAGTTTGCAAGCACTTTCGATGCATACAAGCACCATCTTCAAGCATAGATGTTATTTTTCCTCAATTTCAGGTAATTTCAAGTAAAAATTCCAAGACAAAAATGAATGTGTTACTTGACAAAAGATGTTTTATTAAAAATTGTACTGTTATTAACAGTTAAGAAATGTTTTGAATGTGCAGAAATGCGATGCTTGATCTTTAAATATTGTAGTAATGTATTAATTCAAAATTTCTATTGTGTTTTTTCCATTGATATGACATGAAGTATTGGTCCAATAATTAAAGAAATGTCTTAGAAGATTTCAGAAATTTGTATACCACAGATCAAATGTTTTAAAATTAAGAAATGTGCGTGTATATATATATATATATATATATATATATATATATATATGTATGTATGTGTTGTGCTGTGTAATGATCTTAAAAATGTTTGAAGTTGCTTAATATATTTTAATATTTTTTTAATTATTTAGCATTGAGATTTTCTATATTTTAGATTTTATTGAATTTTAAAATAAATCTGACAATGATTTATGCATTTTCAAAATTATTTCTGTGTATGTTGGAGTGACATGATGTCTAATAACATTGACCCAGAAACCCATCTTCAGTCTCCTCCTTTCTCCGTCTTTAATGGCACTTTACAAAATGCACATCAAATAAAAATCTGATGATTTTGATAATGATTAAAATTGTGCCTATTTTTTTTTTCTTTGTATTTATTGCAGGCCAGTCATTATTTGAACACAAACCAAAGTTATAAAACATGTTCAATGAGAAAAGAAAATATATCTCAAATATTCCCCCCTCTTCCTTCTTTTCATAATTTTCTGTTCAATATTTATTTATTTATTTAAAGTATTTCTTCCAATGCTTTTTGCCTGTATTCGCTTTTTCTTCTCTATTGTCAGCTGACATTTTTTCTAGTACCTTTTCTTTCACCTTTCCTCATGATTGCTCCCATTGCCATTTCTAACTTCTCTCTTTTGTTTTCCTTTTTTTCTCTGTCTTTGAGAGGCAATTTTTAAAATGCATACACCTGATTTTTGTTCTGTATTAACAAATTTTCTTTCTTTAACCAAAATGTTTTGAGAAATGTCTTTACTTGATCTTACATCCATCACCTTAAGCAGACTGAGAGCGGAGGGAGGGAGGGGAATACATTCTTGGACTATTTTTGAAAGATATGGAAAATTTATACATTTATTTATTTATTTTTCAATTTTTTTTTTTTTTTTTTTTTTCTAATTTTTTAAGATTGATTTTGGAAAGGAACCGTCAGAACTTTCTAAAATATATCTTACTTGACATTTTCTGCATTTTTCTGCTTCTGCATTTATTTCTATTGTTTAAATCCTTTATTTACTATTCATGGAATATTTTCTAATTGTTTACAGATCCTATAAAATTTTGTAATTTTTGTTACTTTTAGGTTTATTTTCATTGTTTATCAAGACCATTTATTTCAGTTATTTTACTCAGATGATTTTAAAAGAAATTAAAGAAATTTACTAAAAGCTAAAATTTGAGTCAGACCAGACAATCAAGTTTATAATTCTTAAGCTTTTTGACACTTCCAAAGTTGGACATTAAACTGGTAATCAATTTTACATTGCTACGATCAACTCAACAATGAAGTTAAACATTTGAAAAAGGATTTAAACAAAAAATTTCTCAATTGTTTTTTTTCCTTTTTTTTCCTTTATTCTCTTCTCCCTTTTGTTTCTCGCTTTCGTTTCCCCCTTTTCTTTCTTCCTTTTCTTCCCCCTTTTCTTTCTTCCTTTTCTTTCTTCCTTTTCTTTCTTCCTTTTCTTTCTTCCTTTTCTCCCCCCTTTTCTTTCTTCCTTTCGTTTCCCCCTTTTCCTTTTCTCCCCTTTCGTTTCCCCCCTTTTTCCTTTCTCCCCTTTCGTTTCCCTTTTTCCTTTCCCCTTTTTCCTTTCTCCCCTTTCGTTTCCCCACCTTTTGTTTTAGTCCCCTTTCGTCCCCCCCCTTTGTTTTCTTCCAGTCCATTTTCTCCCCTTTCTCCTTTTCATTTCTCCCGTTTCTCCTTTATTCTTTTACATTTCACCCTTATTTTTTTTTCTCATGATAAAAATGCAATTTGTTTCCTCCTACTTCAGAATATGATGCTTTAGCGAAAATTATCCAAAGACATCCTGACAGATTGGAAACTACCAGGTAATCAAATTCATTTTATAATTACTAACATAAAAAGTAGATCTTTTAGCTTAGCTTCTCTGCATATACTTGTTCATTTGAATTTTAAAATATAGAGTAAAATTCCCAAAACATGTTTATAAATAATTGATTAAAATGACAGTATTTACCAAATATTAATGTTTTGAAAAGGATATAAATAAACATTAAATTTTTTTATCACTTCACCCCAAACAAGGCAATAAAGCCACTAAGATGCAAGTGATTACTGAATGTGAAAGAATATCAGAAGATGAAAAACATAAAAGCAAGAGAACAGGAATTAAGAAGACAGAAGATAATGATTGACATTGCCTTTAAATTTTTGAAGACAGAAGATAACGATTGACATTGCGTTTAAATTTTTGAAGATCAAAGTGAGAAGCCAGAAGAAATGCAGGTGAAAAATGCAAGAGAAGAAACTGTTAACATTGAAATTACGGTTACATCTGGCCATTTCAAGTGTAAAATGATTAGACCTTGCCACTAATTTAGTAGTGTGCTTAAATTCATAAAATCTAGGTACTAAATAGGAAAGCTCATCAGAAAAATTACCATTAAAATATTTCTAGAAAAGTCACAGGGAAGCTAATGTTATGGCAGTGGAAAAGTGACTGAAGTCAAGATGCCAGGTCAGGACCAATAACATTGCAGATTTTTCTTTGTATTTTATCAAGAATCTCTAAATATATACCAGAAGCACTAGGTCAGATGTGTCAGCAATATTTAATGCAGGGACGAATGGTAGACTTATAAATATATAAGATAGATTCTAGCGAGGAAAAATTGCCTAGCACAGCACAAAAAGAATTATATTGTTGGTTCACTATTTCATGTCAGCAGAAAACATTAGACTAAGAAGGCACAAGGAGTCATTCTCCTGGAGGTTAGCATCAGTCATGATGATGGAATGCAAGATAGGTTCTCTCAGGCAATTAAAATTAAATATTGACAGACAACATTTTTTTCTCTTTCTTTTTCTTTTTCTTTTTTTTTTTAACCAAATAGTAACAAGCATATTTTGGAGAATTTATTCATTTACCTTTTATAAATCACCGCATTGCATTGAGTTAATTAAAAAAAAAACAAAGTGGAGAATTTATGTGTTTGAATGAAGACTAATGTATTTGCTGCTCAGTTCTGTGATTGAATACTGGTTCTCTGATTAATGAGGCTACTTGAGAGTTGTGAGTTTCTTCCATTGATCGAGGTAATCTGCATGCAGCCAGTACTCAGTCTATGCAACAGGATATTTCTCAATGAAAGGGGGAGGGGAAACCATCCTGCTGCTAACTGGAATCAAAGTAGCACATCTTGGTTTGCAAACTGTAAGGGGAAACCTGGTGATTCCAATCCACCAGCGGCACCTCCCTCATAACAGTTAAAAGGGAGAGTTGATTAGACATCAATACCAACATGATGCTGGTTGTAGGGACTGGGTAGTTTTTGTCATGTTAAACGAATCTCATGTCACATCATGACATTGTGCAGAGATGGGCAAATACCATAAACTATACTGATTTCAGCAGAAATCCAAGTCGGTTTTCACAAAGATGAGTCAAGAAATTTCAATATGACCTTCTGCTTGAGTTATTCTGAACTTATCTGTCAACCAATCAACAAACTGTAGAAATGTTGTTCATTGCAACAAAGGCTACAGAAAGTAGAAAGAAGCCATTCTTTTTATATCAAGGTGGAGAGCGGATGATCATAAAACTTATGTTTTATTTTTATTGTTTAACATTTATTATCTTGATAATACTTCTTAATACCTATTTCGCAGTTTATAAAAAAATATGACTTGTAAATGACATCAGTTTTAAGCTAAAGAACCACATAAAAAATGCAGTAATGTATATTACAGCTTTGAAAGACTTTGACCCAACTTGCAAACTTAATAGGTAATCTGATGACAATGATATTATTAATCAATTCGAACACTGGTGGTTGTACAAGAACCAATGTTAAACAACGTAGAGCTTGGACAGTACCTAGATGATAACTGCTTGAGAATACCAGTTGCTGTAAGCTTGAATGTACGAGTGTTATAATGGCTTGGAATTGGCAATCAGAGAGCCGAGTTCCAATTATAGTTTGGTTCATTATATTCACTTACAAACAAATATGCTTGAGAAAAATATGTACCTACATATTTCCTCCCTGCTATGGGTTAATTAGCAGTAATTGTATCAGTAAATCATTATCTTCAAAAAAAAAATTCTTACAATGTAAAAATATTTCTTGGCTTTAAGATAATCTGCAAAATGCTGATAATCTGTAAAAAAAAAAAAAAATCAATCAGTATTGATTAATTCCTTGAAAGATGCCCATCTCAATGTACAAGATGACAGTTATTAAAGGAAAGAAAGAAAAATTATATCCAGTCTTTGGGAAAGGTATGAATCCATCTTTTCTCTTCCCAGATATGGGTAAATAGCAAGATAGACTTGAATTCAAAGCCATATGTAGCCCTGGCGAGGCACATATTATGCAGCTAAGGAAAGGATTGTTCACATTGGCTCAATGATCTTAACTATGGTTGACTCCTTTACTGAATTTACAGCTCAGTGATGGCATAGAACTAAGGTTATCTGAGTAGCAAGTCAGGATGAAAGTAAGTTGTGAGTTTCTTCCATTGGTTAAGACAATTTGTATATGTGCAATGTGCTTGGTGTATTTATAAGGACATTTCTCAGTGATAGGGGAAACCAGGCTGCTGTTAACAGAAAACATTTCACTGTTGGTAAAAATATGACATATAAATGGGATTAGTTTTGAGCTTGACCAAAAGAACAACATAAAAAGGTGTAATGTATATTACAAGTCTTTGAAAGACTTTGATCATAGTTGCAAATTTAATGAATATTCTAAAGGCAATTATATTATTAAACAATGCATTGAAAGTTGCTTAAGAAATTTTAGGAAACCCTCTCAACTAAAGACATTAGTAGCTTCCTTGGACTAGTAGGCTACTTAGTAAGGTTTATACTAACCTTATCCTTTGAAAGTGAAGCTTTGCACAAGTTGCTGCCAAAAGATGCTCTGTGGAGATGAGTAGGTGGGAATTTAGCAGACTCAAAAGTATTATCACTGGTTACAGTGAGACGACTCCTTTTAATTCACTCCTGAGAACAATTCTGATGATAGATGCTGGGCTGATGAGACCTAGTGATTAAAGGCATATGATGATAGTATATGCTTTGTAGCATGTGCAAGTAGAAGTCTTGCACAATAAGAAAGTCATTACAGGCAAATAGAGAGAAAGTTAACTGTCATTTGAGGCTGTGAAAGCTTTCACTTGTATTTCTTTGGTTGTAATTTCAAGATCTTATCAAAATTCAATCTTTGATATCACTATTTAGACTGACCATTTTCATATATCTTGTGATGGGGGTCGGGGTCACAATTGGTTTTTATTACTTTCTCTCTATTAGTCTAGCCAAAAAATAAAGAATAGTCAGAGAGAACTTAAAGTGGATGACACTGGATAGTGTACATGGAGTCAGTAGTAAGATCCAAGACATCATTAATAGCTTAGTACTTTTGAAGAAATTTCATAAAACCACTACCCTGTTTAGAAATTTGGTATTTTTGTAGACCTTTAGTGAAATATTTGGGGGCTGTTTTAGTGAAATATCACCTATATTTTTAATTGGCTATATTCTCCTATCCAATCTACCTATGTTTTGAGGATGAATCATGCAACTGGTGTACTTGGGACAGCTCTTTAAACAAATAAGAGCTCATAGTCAGTGGGGCATCAAAGTAAGGTACCATGGCCATTGGGTGGTGTTAGGAAATTTCAGTAAGCACTAAAATAGCGGTACCAAATCTTAAGACAAATTAAAAACGTAAATAACAATCTAGGCCATGTTTCACTTCATTTCTCCATTGCAGTAGATAAAATATTTTCTGACTATTTCTCTTAATGCAAATGCAGGCCTGCATGCAGCTATGGCCAGAACAGTTCTTGAAACTGTTTAAAATATGGTGTTTGTGCCTTCCACAATATAATGCTTGTTATCATGTTATTTTTCCTTTTATCCAGTTTTGCCTCCACCCTTCCACATGGTAAACTTTGTCTTTTTTTTTTTTTTGTTTAATTTATTTGATTGTTTATATTGAAATCCTTTTCTTCATTTTGATTGACAAACAAGGAAAATTAAAAAACATGTAATTTTGGTATTTTAGTACATATCATAATGCTAAAATTTTAATAGGCACCACTACAGTGCTAAACCTTATAACATTTTCAATTTTGGTACACTGCCAGACACACATATGAATAGTGTGGATTTTACATGAAAGTGAAAACTACATTGAGTAATTTTGTTAATGGTTAGTTGGAGTAAGGATTAATATTGGTTGTTATTAAAAACATTTTGTTTTTTAACTAGATTTTACAAGCAAGTAAAATTTACATTAAATAATCTAAGAATAATATGAAAAATCCTAGAACTTAATTTTTTTTCTTTGTAAGATAAAATTAAAAAAAAAAAATTCAGATTTAAAAAGCAGCTTTAAAATGTGAAGATATGATTTTGAAATTTGACATCTAGGTTGTTTTTACAAACAACTCACTGATTCCAACTAGGTCAGCCCAAAACAACAAGAAATGAAAATAATTTTGACAAATGATTGATTATAGGCTCCGATCTATTAACCCCTAAAAAATTTTTTTTAAAAATTAAAAAAACCATATGGTCCTGAGATTACTAAAAAGCTCTTTGTTAAAAAAAAAAGGTACTTTTGAATTTTTTGACCTAATTCAGAAATTAAAGTTTTGGGTTATTAGTTGATCAAAATTTTTAAATGTCTGGGTAGAATCTGTTTTTTATTGTGAGACAGAGACCTCTTTGTTCCACATAATGAATTAACAAACTTGAGTAATTCATTTTAAATTTTACTTACACTAAAAGTTTTTTGAAATAACGTTGACTAGAATTTTTAAATATTTGTAGTTGTTGTGGCATTCAACCAGG